TCAGTTAAACTCTGAGATTACAAGTTTCAGTCCGCTTTAGGTATTTCCTCAGTGTCAGATGGATGATATAACGATGGTTAAGCTTTCTTTTTTCATGACTGAAATCAAGGAAAAACTGAACAATACTTATTTCAAGTTTAATCAATTTTTTCGGCTAAATTAATCCGGAAAACTGGTAAATACTATTTATTGATTTAAGTAATATTCTGTTAAGAGTATACAAAAACGTTTAGTGAGTTCAGTGTTTATCTTTTTTTTCTGAATAGAACAATCATCTTAATTCAAGGAAGTCATTACTGAAGATGACAAGAGTGAGGTGACGAAAGTTACTAGTAGGATTGTTGAACATTTGCCTTGATCCCACTCATTCACTCATGATAAGTGGTCTACATTTTTATAGTAAAGATATTGCATTTATACTCACACCTAATTGTTACTAATGAATGAATAGGCATAGAAGAAAGATTTTAACGGAGTTAAGTGTCTTCAAAACAAGCAGTTTAAAAATGTCGATGGAGTTTTTAACACAGAGGTAAAAAGAGTTTTAAATAACGCTTAAATTTAACTTTTCTATTCCTCTACTATAAATTTCTAACCTAATAACTGATGCTCAGTTTAAAAATCTTTATAATTAGGTAAGTTCATAAGTTTTAACTTCTCCAGAAAATTAAAGTTGACTCACAATGGACATCGCCCATCAATTTAACAATCTGTTTAGAAGATACAGAAGTATCTGAGCCCTTCAGTGTTTCACAGTATTAAAAGAATTAGAAAATAATTAAGATATTTTGATTAGCCACTAGAAAGCAACCAATCTTATATTGTCTAGTTCTGGTTGCTAACCGAAGTCCATTGATCAGAACTAAACAATAAGAAATTGGTTGTTCTCCGATGACGGCTTAATGTATGTAATCCAGTACTACAGGAGATTGATCGCAACCGAATAACTCAGTAGTAAGCACTGGGTGACACGAGTTCATAACTCATAGTGGACCTTAGTTCCATCGAGATGGCAGGTATGTTTTGCTGACCAGTGTTAAAAAGTATGAAACATAAGTAGAGGAGAGTCTCCTGTAGATCCCGTTTAACCAGCTAATATTGATCAAAGTTCTTAATGATGGTGTCTCCTAGATTAAAGACTACATTACAAAATGACCGACATAATTCCTTCAGCAATCTTGATATTAATATACTTAAGTCTGATAAAGGATCCGTAGTTGTTATAACGAATAAGTCTGAACATAAAGGCAAAATATTATTCACCCTCAGTAAAGAAATCAAATTCATTGTAGATGTTCCTGTTCAATGTAAATTGGAAGGAACAGTTAATTCTGCCCCTTGTGAAACTGTTCAACGTAAATGTTGGTTACAAAGAGTTATCAAGTTACGTGAAATCAATGGGATCTGAGTATCCTCATTTATATGGATTTCCCAAAACACATAAAGCTGGTAATCCACTGCGTCCAATATTATCTGTATCAGTCACCCAAACATTAAACTCGCAAAGCGTCTGGTAAGACGTTTCCAACTCATCAGAAGCCATGTTTGTAAATTTCCATTGAAAGATACATGTGAACTTATTGATTGATTGTATTGCAACAATATCACGGATAAGACTATGGATTCTTTTGATGTAAATTCCTCATTTATTAGTGTACCATTAAGCAAGATTATTCATATCCATCGTGACTACAGACGGCCAAAAAATCTTTTACTTCCTATTGCCTTAGCGACTCTCCGAGACATTATTGTTATTATTATTATTAATACGTATTGATTACGTCCAGTTCAAACCTAAAGGCGATTATTTTTGACAAATTGATAGTGTTCCCTTAGGTAGTCCCTTAGGACCTCTGCTGACTCGTGTGTATATGCCATATTTCGAAGGGTTACCCAAAGATTTGACTGGAGACGTTTGCTTTTATAAGAGATATATAGATGAAATCATTGTTATTTCTGAAAAACCTGAGGAGGCGATGTGCTCAGTAGAGAAGGCGAATAATTCACAAAAGCATATTAACTTCACTTGTGAAGGGAATGTGGATGATATTCTGTCAATTTTAGACGTACTGATCAGTCAAAGGGGATGACTCAATCAGGAAGCGGACCTGGAGAAAATAACACCTTTGTTGCCATAGTAACTGTCAAGTCCAACAAAGAATGGTTTGGTCAGGTGTTTATCTGATTGAGTTTATCGTATTTGCACACACGGAGGCGAAAATGCTGACGCATATATTGGTGCAAAAGGAATTGATTTAAAAAGGCAGCCCTAGCAACTACTGAGGTAACCAATTATCTTCCTCTATTCTATGAGAAACTACCGTCTCAGTCGATAATATTAAACTTGATTGGCTAATTTACCAGTTGCTAGAGTGGCCTTTAAAGTTACTTGCGAAACGTATAACCATTAAAATTTGTTGAGAGGTCAGCACAACATTGAGACTGATCAATCGGTGTTCACTTTGTAAGAGAAACGTTTATATCGCATTGTCATAAAGAAGTGGATCGACTAGCCTAATTTTGAAAGAAAAACTCCGATCCTGTGTCAACACGCAGGATGCCTCGTTGCCAAGGTCACCTCATTAGTGGGGACAGAGCCGTTGAGTGATTCTAAAGGGCACACTAGAGATGGCTGAAATGGCCACCCACTTTCTCTATTTATGTTGAAAGCGTATCTTAATAAAATTAAGAATTCAGGTAACTTTGAAGGCCACCTCCACAACTGCTGAGACAACCAATCAGATTTCGGTATTCCGGCAAGAGAGAGATCTTCACAAAATACTGAAACGTGATTGGCTTTCTTAGCAGTCGCCAAGGCTGCCTTTAAAATCACTCGCGAATTCTAATTAGTCATTTCAGTTGTTGTTAGGATGGCCTTCAAGCCCAGCACACCCGAAATGGCCACTTTAAAGGCCACCATGGCAACTCATGTAATAACCAATCAGCTTCGCTATTCTGGTTAGAAAGAAAGCTTTCTATAAAATAGACAAAAGTAACTGGGCTATGAGTAACTCTGATGGTCACCCTAGCAACTGATGTGACCAGCCAATTACATTCTTCTATGTTGTGGAAAAATACTTTCCCATTACAGTTGTTGCTAGGGTGGTCTTTAAAGTCACTGAGCTACCTTAACAGTTACTAGGGGGACTTTTCACTCGGGTGACTTTAAGGGGTTTTTAAGTTAGACTTTTAAGGTCACACCAGCAATGGCTGAAATAACCAACTACGTGTTACAACTTCTACTGGGAAAGTGGAGTTTCGTAAAACAGAAAAGTCTGATTGGTTGTTTCATTTGTTGCTAGGGTCACCTTTAAAGCTACTCAAAGTAATTGCAATAGAATGACTTTAAAGACCACTTGAACAGCTACTGAGGTAACCAATCCAGTGTTTTTATTTTATTATGAACTAAGGTCAAAGCCGAAATGCCGAAACCTGATTCATTACTTCAGCATTTACTGGGTTGGCCTTGGAAGACATAATTTGTCACGGCCTATCTATCTGTCCACACATAAGCCCACTACATGTATTCAAAAGCACCAAACCTACCCTGGAAGTATTGACTTCAACCCTTGATGCCACCAGTGGTGGTGATCTGAAAATCTCTTTTCTTGTTTTCCTTGTTCCCTTAGTATTTTAATTGCAATTCTGTTGGCTTAATTAATATATGTCAGCTTTCGTGACAAATTATTCGGCAAATTTGTATGGAATCAGATTGTTTGAAATGTATAGCGCTAATCCTTAGAATACAGAAAAACAGAACTGTAGACGATCTGGTCTTGTCATGAGCATGTCATTAATAAATCGAAAATTAAGACTTCAGTGGTTGGCATTTTCCTGTCTCTGACACTTGGACTGATCGAATACTTTTACTACTGGTGAATAATTTGATTTGGAGGAGACATTCAATCCAGGAGTCCTTACATCATCAAATACTTCCTTCACTTTGTATCTTGTTAGGGCATAAGTGATCAAAATAAGTTTTTGGTGTTAGACTTTAGTAGCCAGTCAACTTAAGATTTTGCAACTACATCCCATGCTTGCAGTCAATTATGAAAAAGGATATCTGAAAGCTTGAGTAAATTTATCTTCCATCCTGCAGTATTCAGTTCTTAAGTTACAAACTCTACTGATAAGCCTAGTGGCTGGAAGGTCGAGAATGGTTAGTTATGGCCTTAAGAGTTCAGTTTTTGTGTTTATGACTTCGAAATTGAATGATACAGGTTCGGATCTACAACAAAACTCTTTTGAACTCCTTACTGATAAATGCCAACAAGTATTAAATCCAGTTGGAGGACTTCATGTAGACTATTAGAATACACTTTACTGCAAAATTATACCATATTAACTCAGTTATTACACTTTAAACATGTTCTAAGGTATTTCAATCAGTACTGAAGACTCATCGTCCCCATAACTCACCGTTCGGTAACTGATTAGTGAATATTAGAAGGAATGATATAGAATAATTAAAGATGAAAATACTAGTTTATCTGTCCCAATGAATGAAATATGGTTTACACTTGAAGGTCAAATTTTTCGACGTAATCAATAGTTTCTTCAGCTTCTTGCAATAGGACAAAGTTGAGGTAATGGCATAGTACTATTAAAATATTAATATATAATCTTCATCACACCAACTTAAGTTACTGGCTTCCAGTAAGCGAATATCTTGAGGGGAAAACATGTCAGCTAGCACTTTACTAAGGTTTTATTAAATGCAAGAATAAGGTAAATAGGGGGTGAAGCTAAGACTATCGACCTAAGATAAAACAATCAGTCAGTATAATGAATATTTATTGTTCTTTAATGAGTCAGCTCAAATATTCAGTGTCTAATTACTCCAAGCAATTGACAGCATCTAAGAAAGAGGCATCTTTTTGGAGCTAAGGAATTTACTTGTCCTACTGCAATGGCGCTATTAAACCATAAGTGAGGGAATTATAAAGCAGTTGTTGACACTGTATAAAATAATAAGATTTATATAAATGTGGTGAACGTACCCAACAAACCTCGACAGAAGGCATTGTCAACTTGCATTTCTGAATGGACTGACAAATCACTGTCGCTTGATACTTGGATAACCTGATTACTATTTGATCTTTGAAATGGATTGACGCTAGAAATATTCTCCCAAAGTGAATTCATGTCAACGGTAATTGTATTGTGCGGACATTTACATCCATAAGAAAGTCTGAAACAATATGTACACCACTTTAGAAATTGATTATCAAAGACTAATCATGAATTATAGTCTGAATGTTCATTAAGGCAACAGAAGACCCTAATTTCAAGTTGATTTTACCTTTTTAAAACTCAAATCTTTTAAAGACATTAACCAGCTCCTTCACAAGGTGAGAGTCTGAATCTGATGACTGACTGATTCTACCAGATCAACAGGTAGAAGGCAAAATATATGGAAAACTATATTTCTTGAGAAATCATACTTTCAATTCACTTGTGGTTTTTGAATGAAGTTAATAGTAAACGATGTTTGTTTTTTATGTCTTTAGGTATTCAGTTATCTTTTAACGTTGTTGAAGCTTAAACTGATCCATTAGTCAGTTTCAATGTAAAATCGTGCTTAGTGGAGAATATTTATAGCTCAGGTGGTTGGTCTTGGTTGTGTTGTTTTCTCTGAGCTGGATTATTTAATGGTGTGCATCGTCCGCTTGTTTTTTCAATTGCAGTTGTCAGCATTGTCATGTGTTGCATCGTGAGTATGCTTTCTGGTTTCGTCTTTTGATTATTAATCACTGATTGATATTTCCGAAATCTATGATATGCATCTGTGATCAACAATTGTACCATTTGTCTTCCACTTTGTTCGGCTATTTTCCATCCCATTGGGCAGTTAATCGATGGTCTATATCTGACACTCTTCGGCAGAGCATGCTGACGTAGGCATTCATGGAGAAAGAATAGTTACTCTCTTATGGAAGCTTGCCTTTTGAAGAAGTCTTCCCATCTTTGAACAACGTGAAGCGTGCTACGCTCGTATAATTTTGAAATAGTGGAGAATATTTGTAGCTCAGGTGGATGGTCTTGGTTGTATTGTGTTCTCTGAGCTGGGTTGTTTAGTCGTGAACACAATAATAACCAAGAAAATTGTGCTTAAGTTAGTCTTTTCTAAATATTTTGTGCACGAAGCTGTTTGGATTTACACACATATCAAAAGCGTAGATGAGTGGTTTACATCAAAGTCTTGATAACAAGACAGACTTTCATATGCAAATATGCAGGTGGAAAGATTGTTCCTTAGTGAATGCTATTTTACTGGCGAACTTCAATCCTTAAGAATTAAGAAACGTATTGTGTTGATGTTATCTTGCGATACTAAAGAAGAAGTATAACTCTAAGCTATAACAAAAACTGTTTAACGTTGTCACGCTTGATTCTTAGCTGTACCTGTAGATGAAATCAAAATTATTTGAAGCAGTTAGTCCCTTTTATGAATTTCGATAGCGTAATTAGAAGACGAGGTTTGTCTGAACAGTGTGATGTATTTACGCAATACATTTTGAACAATCTGACTGATCATACATTTATTGTATAGGATGTATTTTTACTTGTGTAATCCCGTCGTAGTATATTAGAACAAATAACAAAATAAACAAATATTTTGTATTATTCCTCAACGTTTCGATCTTGCTAGGAAGATCCTTTTCAAGAGTATGAATCTGACACTAAGTTTTCAGGTTAATATTCAAGTTTTGGTACACAAAGTGGTGACTTTTACAATCATCCAATTACATAGTGATATAGAGCAAAGATCAATGTAATACAGGTGAGTGAATAAGCAACTCAGTCAGAGAGGTTTTTCCGTTGTGCTAGTAAGGTGGAACAAAATAGGGTGGGGAAATTTTTTAGTTCATCTATGAAAAGTACAATGGGGTTGTGAGGCATCAAGGGTGAGAAAGAATAGATTACTAGTTTGGAAGGATGAATATTTAAAGATGAGACATTTACTTGTCAAGTCAATATATATTAAACCGAGGAGTGCAGGGGGGGACCAATACAACAATTAACACAACAGGGGGTTAAAATTAAGAAAGATGAAAACAAAGAGGAAGTGACATAGTTGATCCTAATCTTGGTAAGAAAACGAAGTTCACCAAGGTAGGTGTAGTGTAATAACAAACTGTTTTTGTACTCATAAAGTTAGTTTAAATTTGTGTATGGTTATGGCTTCCGCGAATCTGAAAATACGTCCATGACTGTTTCTGTATAAAACTTTGAAAGCTGTTTGAACATTAACTTTGTGACCTGCTTCTATGATATGTTTAGCTATAGATGTAGATAATCGTCTCTCACCAGCATTAATTACCGTTTCACACTCCATTGAAGCCATTTAAGCACGTGTTCTCCCATCCTCAACTGCATGACTCGATTACTGCTCCCTATGTATGTGTGACCACACACAGGTAAATTGGTAAACACAATGGGATGTGACGCAACCACTGATGCAGTGTTTAGGTTTTTGGTGAAGCATGTTTTATTTTTCGACAATGATAAGACTCATCACGTAATATGTTTTCTTAATGCCTGATGTCAGCCTACGTCTCAGAATGATACTATTTAGCTCTCCTCTGTATGGTAGAGTGATATGGACACTTTTCTTAAGGACCATGTATAAAGTTGGCTTTGATGCTACTTCACCTGTAATATAAATTGACTTGACAAGCAAATGTGTGATCGGATTGTTCAAAATGTATTGAGCAAATACATCACATTGTTCAGATGAACTTCGTCTTCTAATTACGCTATCGAAAATCAAAATCATGCTAAAACTGTCGCACTAGAAGGGACCACTGTACCTAAGTGACTTAGCATATGAAGCCCAGGTGATCTTTACTTCGAGTCCAAGCGTGGACAACATAACGCACTGAAAAGTTAGAGACATCCATTCAGAGAGTACCAAACAGGACGAGATTTGCGTACTGATTTAAGCTTCCTTAATATTTTGTGACAAAATGTGTATATGAAAACGCTCAAGGTAGTATTGTAGGAAATGAGAAGACTGAGAATCAGAAAAGAATGTTTATTATTGACATCTTGTACAATAGTCATCAAATATCGTACACTTTCCACTGAGACAGTCATTTTGACACTATCCTTCATTTCCTTTTCTGCGTCTATCTTGATTTGCTCTTAATATGCCCACATTGTCTCTTGCATTTCTCTGAGTAGAATTTTTACCCATTGCTGGTAACTGCCTATGATTTCTTCCGCCTCCTCTACAAATACTACTTATGTCTATTCTGATCAGCAGCGCCTACTACAGTTTAGCACTAAACATTTGATAAAGTCTTTTGGTCAAATTCTGATTATGCGAAAAAAAATAATCGAACTTTCTATGGAATCCTTTCGTTTGCTAGAGTGAGAAATTGTAACCATTAAGTTCAGAACAGAAGTACGCAGATTTTGAACTGCTCTCCACAGTCTTCTCAATAAACCATAGAATTTTATCGCTTAACACTTCACCTAAAATGTTTCCAATGAGATAGCTGTAGTTTGGCAGACTAGTATTTATACTGGGTGATGATTGAAGGTAAGATGAAAATTTGGACCGCTGCCGGATTCGAACCATCGACCACCGGGTTACCAGCCCGGCTGCGAAGTCCGAATGGTAACCAGAATTTTATTTTACTTCAATCACCATGAATTTTGCCCGACTAACATGTGAATTCATGACGCGTTGCTACCGCTTGATTGTATTTACACTGGCTGCCTAGTTAGAGCTTCCCATCCCAGTCTAAATCTAGCTGCAATTTTTATCAAAGACATATTTAGGCTACTCTTCAAAATGACGACAATTTATTGGAAAATCGAGTAAAAAAAACTTCAAAACCACATTTGTTTGTGATGCTACATTATCATACATTGTTAAAATAAAAAGCAATTCCTTGTGGATTAACATCACTTAGAGACGCATTGAAAACCTTGGAGTACTGGATGGCTGTTTTATCCAAGTATAAAACTTCTCAGCAGGACGCACCCACGACCCAGCCAGGGACCCATTCAAGAACATTTAGGTTTTGTGGAGAATAGGTCAACCATTCAGCCATTTAGTTAGTGTATGGGGAATGCTAATCTAAAAATAAAACCCTTAATATATGCCTAAAACTACTTAAAAATAAATGTTACCGCAATAAGCTGTAGGTCAGGGTTGTCAAACGGTTTTACTCTCTCAGCTAGGCAGAAGTCTTATGAGAAAATTTATGTCCCAATTAAATAATGGGAAAAAAAATGTGTTGATTTGATACTGTTTCAGCTGTGTTTGCTTTGTTGTTTGATTTTGATTAGTTGTCACTATTGCGTGACTTTAAAGGCCAATCTAGTAACCACCTTACTAACCAATCACGTTGCTCGACTCTAGGGCTACCTTAGCAATGATCGAAATAACCAATTAGGTTCCTTCACTTATATTTCCACTAAATAGACAAATGTAGTTGGTTGTTTTAGTTGTTGTTAGGGTGGCCTTTATAGTCAGTCTTGATTTTATGAGAAAGTTCCTTTGTAGACGAAATTCTGACATTTAATTAGTTAATTTGAAATTTGCGAAGGGGTTTTTAAAGTCAGTCTTTATTATCTTGATAGATGTGTGATGCATACTGGTGACTTTAAAAGGCGCCCTAGCAGCTACTGAGATAACTAGTTACGTTTATTTATTCCATGAGCAACTACCTTTCTGGCTGGAATAACTTGATTGGTTATTTAAGTAGTTGCCAGGGTGGACTCTAAGGGCACTCGATGCATACAGATGCATACAGGCTGCCCTAGCAATTGCTTAAGTAACCAATCAGACCTCATTATTTCCCCTGCATACGTACTTTCCCATTAAATAAAAGAATGTAATTGGCCATCTTGAGTGATTTTAAAGGACACTCTAGCATAACTAAAATAACCAATTTTTCTTCTTCACTGAGTGGAAATCTGCTTTGCTAGCCCAAACGCACAAACCTAATTGGTTATTTCAATGGTTGCTACGGTATTCTTTAAAGTTGCTGGTTATTTCATCGTTTGTTAGGGTGGCCTTTGAAGTCACTCCTTACATGATTAAGGATACTCACATTGGTTACTGCCGTCTTTCGTTACTTTGACTAATACTATAGTCCTATTAATTACTTTGTAAAGGCAACTGAGTGCATGCTACTATGGCTATGATCGTGTGAACGACTTTTCATCATTGATAAAAAAATCTAAAGACCGCCTTAGCAACAATCAAAATAACCAATCAGAATTCTCTATTATGTGAAAATCTACCTTTCCAACCAAAATGTAAAGATCTAATTATTTATTTCGATTGTTGCTAGGGTGACCACCTTTAAAGCACTCTGATCAATTGGTCACAGAATGGCAACCGACATCATTGCATCTAGTTCTAGAGTGACTTTAATGGCTACCCTAACAACTGCTAAGATAGCCAATTACGTTCCTTGAATCTATAAAAAAACACTATCACAGTCGAAATTCTGAAGTTTGATTGTTACTTTAGCAGGTGTTAGGATTGTCTTTAAAGTCACACCTAATGTGGCCACCATTCTAGAAGGTTCAGCACTGCTATGCACTGGTATGTATGTTGGCTGAATGGAGGCAATAGGCAGATAGTCTCGCCCAACTCAGATTTGTAGTAGTCAGAAAAAACATCTGCAACCATGACGGAACTTATGGGTCCAAACCTGCATCATTCCGTGCTGCAGTTGGAGAAGATACCCCTAAGCTATTCGTGCCATGACTGGTCTATTGTAGGACTGGACTGGCTTGGTGGTGACATGTCAAAATATTTTGAAGAATTTGGTTAGCACTTAGGACTAGACAATGTGAAATTATTTTGCCCCCCTAGTGACCAATCGATAGTGATATTTGTACCTATTACGTTCACTTACCTTCTGTTGTATCTGTTAGATAATACTGTTGAACTGTCCAATATTCTCCAGTCTTCTTCAATTTGGTAACAGATCCCATGATATTTTCTGCATTTACCGCAAAAGCCACTTGAATATTGTTTAATGTAGACCCCTGAAAGAAGATGCAGAACAAAGTGAACACTATGGTAGACGCATAGTACGTATGCAGACACTGGTTTGAAATGTAACAAGCTTTTGTCAAATCAATCAAACTAATCTGAAAAAAGGCTGTGAGTTATTTAAAAATGCTCTACTTCATTTCGATGCTTCTGAAACATTAATTACAATGTAATTAGGTTTAGGGATAAAATAGGTTTGATGATTCTATGTTATTGCCTTGTTATACTTCATCCGTATTAGGAGTTCTGAAAGCGCACATAATGTTCAGGCTGGCTGCGTAGAAATCAAGTTCGATAAGTGTAAAACATCTTAGTGAAGCACAGCCGTAAATTTCTGCATATCTAGGCTCAAAAACCACATCGCATCTAAGTATAACTCAAGACTGATTCACAAATATATCGAGTTATCCTAATAACGTCAGCATCCTCGATTTTAGAGTTACAAGTACACTGAGTGAATATGTCCAGAATGACAGTCTTTTAGTTGATACCTCATTGGAATGTTTAGTAAATGTAAAAAGGTAGTGATGCGTTTCAGAAATATCTACTTTCCTCAATAGTTCGGACAGCAGACTAATTGTTTGGGGTCCGCGAGACAAGAGTAACAAGTGGCTGGGGACCCTAGGTGATCACATGGCTCAGAACCTATATCAGTGGCGCACGTGTATACATGCATTATCATCTTAACGACGCGATACCGAACCTCACCACTTTCTCATTCTTCGTTCCTCTCTTTTCGTACTTTGTATTTCTTCTGACTGCATTCTCTTATCTCCATCTTTCACTTCAGTGCCCTTTTTACTTGATGTGGTGATATGAAGTGTGGCAAGTTGCAGGGTTACGCAGTAATGCCTGGTCCTAGGTTGGTCTGGATCTGGAGTCCAGACAGCTTGAACAATCTGTCATGAAAGTCTTTAGAGACTACAACTTACTTTAAGGCAGCTCAAACGTGTGGTACAGTAGTCACCAATGTATTACTGGTCGTTGGAGAACTATCATATACATCAGAAGTCAAGTCTGCATTAACTAGGTGTAGACAGAATTACCAGTCCTCCCAAGTCGCCTGTCTGGGTTCTGCTTATGCGTTAGTATGTTCAAAGTATATTTTGAATTTTGATACTCATTATAATTTTTATGCAACACAGTTTAATATACGCCAAACAGTAAAAACTAGAGTTACAGTTCAAGTGAGATTTAGGATTCATTTGGTGGTTTTTGGAGGATTAAGTGATTTCAAAGAATGACATCGGTTGAAGAATAGTTACAAATCTGGATGGATTGGATGAGGATTTCCTTCTAGTTAAGGACTTCACAGTAAAGTTCGACCATTACCCTATGAAAGAGTGAGAGCAGGGCAGTGAGATCTCATGGCCTGGAATATGTTTGTCAACACTGTTGAGGATTTACGAACTAGAACGAAACATAGCTCCCAATTTAAATAACAATAATAATTCATTTTATTCCAAACAATTTGTGGTACAGTAGTGATGGATAATGGCTAGCAGTGGAATTCAGGATGCACATTTCGTCCTATTTAGGACTCGTCAGCTGCATGTACCTGCCTCCCAGTGAGTAATGCTGTTTTCATCTGGATTCAGACTTAAGAGCGATCGCTTCGAACGCAAAAGCGTCATCCACTACACTACCGAGCCACCATAGCCACTTCTTATGTGACGGGTATAGTTTTAGTGTTCTTGCTTGTATTACACCGTCTTTGATTGGATCGAATTGACCAGTCTCTGTTGGCCTATGGGCTCCTGTGCCGATGCCTTGATATTGTCTGTATTTAATTAAGTATAGTAGTGGCTAGCAGTGGAATTCTGGATGCGCATTTCGTCCTATTTGGGACTCGTCAGTAGAATGTACACGCCTCCCAGTGAGTGATGTAATACAAGCAATAACACTAAATTTGTGGTACAATTCGGAATTGTCGGCATGATATATTGCAACAACTGCGAAATATATGTATGTTTATGCTCTTTTACAACATTTCGAATTGTGGTATCATAAAAATTTAATTAACGTACAGAATATTAAGAACGAGAACATGATATTGTTAATTAGATCATTGAAAAGAGATTGTTAACTGTAACAAAGTTGGTAAGTGAGTTCTGTTCTAACACCTTTTTTCTTACAAAATATGCGTGCTAAGTAAGATACAGTGGGATTCTTGTATATAGCTGTACTAGCTTACGGTCTTACGTAGTTTCTTCCTATCCTCTTTGAGGAAACACAAAGAGAGAGCTGTGAATGAAGTAGATGATCAGTGTCAGCTCAAACTACTCAGGCTAGTTGCTTGCTAGAATTTAAGTGTCTATCAGAGGTACATCACTCACCCTGCTGACGGATTTTCAAGCCCTAATCAACAATCCTTTTTTAAAAGACCAGGAAAGGTTAGCTGGGAACAATAGAGAAGAATAGGTAAAATTCAGGAATGAATAAATTGTAAAAGTAGAAGTTGAGTTGTACCAGACAGTCTCAGTTTCTTTATGTAACACGTTAAACAAAGGATTTTTTTTACAAGTCAGCAAGATATGAGACGATCAACAAAGATCAGAAGTAAAACTCAACCCAAGATAGTTTACACTCATGAACCCTCAATGCAAGAGGGTTCATGCGACTTCAACAGCTCATACAAGTCTTGTTTATGCCTGAGGCTAAAATAAACAGTCTGACATTCGGAAGGGTTTAACTTGAAACCATTTGAGAGAGACCATCGGCCAACTACAGACAAGAATCCATTTAGTTGAGAACAATCTAAGTGAGAGTTAACTGAAATAGACACCGTCAGGTCAACAGCGTACTTAATAAAATTATTTTCAACAGAATAAGGTAAACCATGCAAAAAGAACGAAGACGAAAAAAGCAAAAGTACAGGATCATAAGGCACACCAGCTTCAGTAAGCGATGAGATGGATCGCTTCTCTTTATAGACAATATACTGTTTTCTTTCAGAAAAGTGAGAATACAGTCACTTTGTACCCAATGGCTGTGTATGAGCCATGCAAAGCCTATTTAACGGAAGTTGTCTAGGAACAGAGTCAGAGGCTGATGATTAATCCAAGAAGGCACAAAGAAGATAGTTAACACCTTTGTTGAGACTAAAAACAATATTATGATGCAAGACAGTGGCAACATTTAAAGTACTTCTCCTGTGTTTGTAAGCAAACTGTTTTGGATCTCTGGAAACCCTAGGTGAAGGTTCAGTCACAAGGAGAAGTAATTTCTAGAGTTTCTTCAAAAAACAGGAAGTTACAGCGACGGGTCAAAATGTAGTATTTGGTCCAGAAGATGACTTGCGTACAGGTAGAATTTTGATCTCCTTCCAAGTAATGGGTATTATGTTCGTAGAAAACAAAGCATGGAAGATATCTCTGAGGAGATGACATAAAATATCTGCATATTTTCTAAAACAACACTAGAAACACCATCAGGACCTAAACTATTGGATAGATTTAAGGATTTAAGACATTTAAATACATTATATGTATTAAAACGAGGAAAACAGCTGTCCATTCGACTGTGGATATTAGGAAGGGTGAAATCAGCTTGCAAATGTATGAATGGTTTTCCAACTTACCTCAATTTATGATGAATACCATCTTGAGACATATTCTAGAAAGTGTACACAAACCTTAGGTACACTAACAACAGACTGATAATTAAGCGATATCACTTTTTTTTCAATGATATCATTTTCTATAGCTGTACAATTGCATTTACATACATCATAAACATATAACAATCCATTATTAAACAATAGTGAATAATTGTATTATTAGGCTGGTGCTAAAAACCAAAATCAAGGAAAGGAAAGTAGTTGCGTAATAATCCTTTCATCAACTGAGAACAATCTACAAGTGAAGTATCAGTAGTAATAACATAACTTGCACAACATGCTTTTAAATATGTAAAAGTGAATGGGGATTTGAAATTGAGGAGTAATAATGAGGTAGTGAATGAGTCAAGGAAACACAAGATTAATAATTATAAATCTTATTCAAAATCAATGTTAATTTATATCTGATGAGATAGGAACTTCTGGAGCTGTGAACAGGCAGCGGGGACAACAAATCAGTGTCTTATTAGTACCAAAGTCTTTAAGGGCGCATTCGCCAGGTATCTGATGGAGACAAGACATCAAACAGATGTTTCTCCATCTTTCCAGATAATCACCGAACAAAGAACGCCATGTTTATAACGGTTTGCGGAGGCTCTTGCTATCAAACACTTTCAACCTGACCTATGTACTGAGAAAGAGGCTGTGATTAACCTGTTCTATAACTTGTTAACTGTAGATATTTCTTCTGGGATGTGTATGTATATAGTCTTTCCTTTTCTACTCATTGGATTGTCTCTTCATTGATTGAATTTGGAGTATATGAGATTTAGTGTTTCTTCAAGTTGGTGTTCATCATGACTGGCATCAGTTGGAAGAACACTAGAAACCTGAGAGTACTCCACAGCTATTTCGTCCCATTATAGGACTCCTCAGCAGTGCGCACTCATGACCCCATCAGTATTCGAACTCGACACCTTCAGGTTCCGCAGCCAGCACGTTACCATTGAGTCAGTGGGTCGGAATCCAGTAATCCATATTTCCAACTTCTGTCAGTCCGCCACATAGCGCGACCATCAAGGCACGTTTTCGTTGAGTATTTGTCCTCATGGCTACCAGGTTTGCCCCTCCGGTGACAACTTCGTATTGGAACTTCAGGAATCATCTCTTGAAGCTAGTCACCAACGTGCACTAAACCAATTTGTGTTTGGGGTTTGTGAGGATTTAGTGATTCTTTAAGTTGGTATTTATCATGAATATAAGTGTAAAACTTGGGCATTGTAGCAGAGTTCAATTCCCTATTAGATTTATTTATTTATTTATTTATTTTTATAACACACAGTGATATACTATCATTTACTTGATGACGAATTTTCGAGCATAAGTTGAATAGGTCAAACTAGCCGGTCGGGGTCAGTTAGGGTAGCCGAACATAGGAATTTAGCTAAATATGGAATGATAGACCCTAATAAGATCAATAATCTAGAAAAGCACTCGGCTACTGCAATGCATGTACTATCACACACAACCACACAACAGGGTGGGTGGAATAAAGCCACTGTACTCAAGTCCAATATAAGTAGGTGGACAGAGATTGATTACCAAATTTTTGTTCATCGAATTGGCCTACACCCAACACGTAGTAGAAATGAAGCAAAACTTGTACCAGAGGTATGGGAAATTTTACTACCAATAAAAACAAAGAGTATTAGGTCACATAACTATAAAAAGCAGATGTCTATAGTAGTGTGATTACAATGATATGATAATGAGCAATAATAATTTATGCTCGAAACGTCATCAAGTAAATATCACTGTGTTATAAATCAAATTAACATATCTAATATAGTGTTTGTTATTATGCTTTCGAACGTTAATGGTTATATATACCGGAAGATATAATGCGCATGCTTAGCTGACAGTTAACTTAGTACGCAAGAGCCATTGACTGCAACCCCCGGACGAATAGAGAGAAGCCCGAAGCTGGCAGATGGGAGAGTTTATTACTAAAGAAACTTCATCGTCCAGCGTTTAAAAAAAATGATAATCAATGCATATGAAATGACCTTGTCCGCAACTGGTGTGGGATGACACTTTAAAATGTTGAGATCAATAACAATGTTTTATTCAAAACTGAAGCATAACAACATTTATCATGGCTGATATCAGTTGGAGGAACATTGGAAATCTTAAAGCAGTGGACGGCTGTTTCGTCCTAATATTGGACTTCTCATTATAACTTACCTATTGACTGTTAATCACTCAACGATTTTCCAGTTTTTCATGAAATTACGTAACCTGCTAGCTCTTAAACAGTTCCTTCTTTCACACTGATTTTCCTTTGTTGTCCTACACCACACCTACTCAACAGCTTCAGAAGTTTCCGTTTCATCAGATATAAATTAACATTGATTTTGAATAAGATTTATAATTACTAGTCTTGTGTTTCCTTGACTCATTCAACACCTCATTATTACTCCTGAATTTCAAATCCCCATTCACTTTTACATATTTAAAAGCATGTTGTGCAAGTTATGTTATTATTACTAATACTTCATTCCACTTGTAGATTGTTCTCAATTGATGAAAGTTGATGAAATGAAATGAGCTTATTTTATTCTGCTATTGTCTTTGTTTTGACATTGTTCAGATTTGTCAAAGGAACTAAACGCATTATATTTCTGAAAATAGTGAGAAAGGTAAAGAGTTTAACAAAAAGAAAATTTTCTAGTAGATGTAAAATGCGAAGATTTAATGTCCTTTTTGTATATATAAAGAAGGTGAATAATGGAACAATGGTCATAAAGAATGTGGTAATGGTATACTAACTAATTATAATGAAATCGAAAAATGGTAAGTGTTAAGACAATATGAGAATAAGAGATTGAATGCACTCTTCTGCCAAGCATTCTGCTGTACACAACTGTTGAAAGCGTACTTTATTTCGACTGTTACTTCTGACTCTGTAGATGATACCGAAGGAGGAGTCTAGTGGATCTATGTATCAGGAGTTGACCAAATGTTTAACAATTGAACTGTCAAGTGATTTTTATTATTCTCTCGACAACTATGCAAGATAGTGCTCAGAGATACTTTCGGAAAGTGAGTGTATTTCGCGCTCTATACAACTAGTTGCAAAGGAGCAATTTAATTTCCAGAGACACTTTAAGGTGACCCAAATCTGCAACTTGTTCTTTACAAACTCCGGAACTAAAATGGCTGAGTAGAAGTGACTGACAGAATAACACGGAATACGAGAGCGCTACTAAACTGGAACTCAGGTGGGAAACGCCGAGTTAAGCCTCTGAGGCAGGAGTGACATGGAGGAGATCATATGAGGAAGAAATGAACGCTTGTGGGCAGTCGTGGTGCTAGGTCCAAAAGACTGCAGAGGACTGAGTGCAATGGAGGCGTGGTACTGAGGCCGTACGTTACACTAGGAACCCAAGGGAAAAAGAAGAAGAAGAAGAAGAAGGATCTCTTACTTTCTTCATGATTCGATGAACATGTTTCATCTTCTAACAAGACGCTACCAAAGGGATGAATGAAGCCAGTTTTCTGGTATACTTACATTCATTGTAGTAATTGTACCATTTTTGTGGATAACGAATTTGTTCACTCCTAGAGTCAAAATCTTGAACAGTAAATGATTCATGTCACAACTGATTTTCTGTAGACTTTGAGCAGTACTGATTAATTACGATTTGACAGCGATATTGACTGCAATCTAATGATTAGATCATGTAATTTAGTATGATCCAGCTAAAGTACCCAGTGCATAATGAAAGTTAGAACAATTTAAATTAATATGAATTGTCTGTACAGTTTTCTGACGTTAGTCTAAATGTTGAAGACAGATGATACGAACAGTCAATAAAGAATGTTTTGCTTTACGCCGATGAAATTGGCTTACGTAACCACAGTACTCAGTCACTCAAAATGAAACTAATTCCTGTTTTACGCAGAATCATTTTTCATTTAAGATCTTATCCTTGAGGTAGTGAAGCAGTGCCCGAAGTTGTACCACCTTATTAACAGCTAGCCAGAATAAGTCTGCATATTGTTTCAATATTTAGCTCAACATCGACTTACAATTAGCGTTTTCTTAGGTTGCAAGGTTGATGTATACACTTCTTTCAGTGATATGAACTAAGAACTTGATATTTACGTCGGTTAGCCTTCAGTCTCCAAACTGTGTATATAATCTTGTCTTAAATGAATTAGATGTGACTGAAGCAAAGTAGTGGTGAAGTCCATGACTTCAGAACAGAGTGCGGTGGATTTATATCACTAGAAGGATACAGGTTAGCTCAAGGCTACAGATGCACCTTGCTGACGAGTGATGACGATCATAAACTGAGTTAACTAAAACCTGACACTAGTGTTTATTTCAAACCATTCTGCGTACCCATATCGAATCAAGGCGATATAACCTAATGCTACATTGGTGGGTGTTTTGATTGCTGGAGGAAGGCATAAAATCGCTGAGTAATGAAATAGATGAATTTTAGGTGAAGTAATGCATCTTATCGAATGCCTTCAACTATGCAATCAAAGAAAACATCATTTCTCAGCTCCGTTAAAAATATCCACCAAAATGTATTTTCTTTTGCATTCCTGTAATAGTTGGCCAAAACTAGCTTATAAAAGTTTTGCGCTTTTAGTAAGCATTTTCTACTGTTCACTTTGAAGGCTTTTCTACTGTTGAACAGCCTTAAAAATTGCTTTTAGCATACATTGGTATACGCTGAAGAACCAGTAAAAACTAGGCGATACTAAATGGCTGTTTCATCCTTCGCTTAGGACTCATCAACAGTGCATCAACTTGTCACTACCTGGGATTGAATAATGAGTTTTTTAAGTCTATTGGTTTGAAATTCAGTCGTTGATGTTTTTGAAGTTTAGCCGATTCATGACATTTTGGAGGCTGTGTTAGGAACTGATGAACATACTGCTGAAAAGTTGACTAGTCAGAAACCAATCGCCAGCTAGATCACCGGTTGACTGTTTCAGTCGTTTGCTGTAGATCGTTGATAAATTGGGCAGCTCAATAAATAGACAACCAAAAGAGTTAACTTACTACAAGCATGTTCTTGTGGTACATAAATAGTTCCTGATGGACAGATACATGCACCAGCTCCTGGATGGCAAATACTGTTTCTGACATAACTACAATCTCTATCCAACTGACATTTATGATTTGTTAACACTGAAAGAAAGCAAGACAAATTTATGCATTAGGTAATGGAGATAAAGGGAATAAAGGCTACTAGTATGAAAGTAAGATTTTTTAATTAAAATCGAAAAGATGGAAGGTAAAAATTCCTTGATGTCATGAAACGTTGGCAAAATGTACAACTAATGAATAAAAAACTTAATAATGAGTCTTTATTGATATTCTCGAAAGATCCCTGGTGACGTAATCACAGTCTCCTTACTTATGGATCAACTTTCACCTCTTTTAGAAGAAAGAAATCAAAATTCAACGAAGGTTGAAACATAGTAAGCAGCTGTATTGATCATTTCTTAAGTAAATTCGAAACCTGAGTGTGCTCTATATTGAAAGCAAGTAGTAGTTTATTGAAAAGACGTCTTTAATGTCCTTCATAATTATTGTTATCCCAAACATCTAGTATGTGTTGGAGACTTCCAAAGCACATCTAGATATCAGTGAAAATAGAAAAGTTTCAGTTGTCTTATGTGACAGTTACGTTCAAACGATATACGCTGCAATTCAACTAAATGGATCAAATGTGTTATAAACAATGTGGAACGTCATTGCTTCCAGTCAAGACAGTTAGTTGCAAGAAAGTGTCATAAAATATCAAAAACAGTCACTGCACAGCTACAAGGTTTCTCAAATATTGAAACACTTACCAGCCAAGCTAAACATAGCCTTAGCCATAATCATATAAGGCAAACTGATTCCATGAAAGCAACATATTTATTTTATTTGTCCCTTGGGTTCCTAATGGAACATAGGGCTTCAGTAGCACGTCTCCATTACACTCTCTTCTCTACAATCTTTTCAAACTGCCTCCACAACACCCCACAACCTCTCATTTACTCCTCACACCATCTCCTCCATATAACCCTCATCTCCGACGCCCAACTCGTCGATTCCCATCTGCGTTCCACTGAAGTGCCTTCCTTGCCTGGTGCGTGATGTCCCCAGTCGGCCTTCTCAGTGTATGCTCAGTCCAATCCATCTCCACTTCCTTCCATTACATATTTGTTAGATGACAGGTTCTTGGTTGGTTCATTCCCAGAATGAGTTCCTTGTTGCTTATTCTTTCTCACCATCTGATCCCCATATTCAGTAACTAGCGAGCGTAAGCAGTTGTTGATGAATGTCTGTAGTTAGTTGGAAATGCCTTTCGTAACGCGTCAAGTCTCTGAACCATACAGAAGCAGTGACTAGACTGTCGTTGGTGTTGAAAATCTAGATCTTGTTTCACATGCTGAGTGCAGTATATCTGCATACTGGTTTCAGGTTAATGAAGGAAGGCTTGTCTTGCTGTCTTTCCGATCGTGGCTGGCTTTGACATCCTCGTGTGTGCCTGTGTCGCCTTAGTTGAGACAGTGCTGCCTAGATGGGTGGAAGAGGCTACTTACTTCAAGTTCCTCCGGTTGATGGTGATTGTAGTTTGTTGTTGTTGGTTGGATATCTTCATCACCTCTGTCTTCTCTATATTCATTTGAAGTCCCGTCTTCTCTGCCTCTTCTACCAACTTGTTAGGTAAATAACATAGGCAACTAAATTTTTCAAGCAGATGAAATCAGTCAACAGGAAGTCACTGGTCTAGGCTTTTTAGTTGGCTACGTTTGCCAGCAGGGTGTATTGACCGCACTGACTTGCCCTTAGAGATCCAAACCCATGCTTTTCAGGGCTACAGTCATGGACGCTACCAGTAAGCTATTCGGGTCACATAAAATCTGGGTCCAGGGCTTCATTTAAGTCGCTTCCTGAGCAATGTACGTGGCACCAGGTACGTCCCACCAGGTATTGAACCTAGAAACTATATAGTTCTTGGTGAGAACATGACCATAATAGTGGTCGGGGTATGAGAAAATGTGAATGATTCAATTGCTACCAAGTGGTTAACTGAGAACATTCTCACCTTGAGATTCCCTGAGTCACGGTTACTGAGAAGTCCACAAAGACGAAACATGGTAGTGGTTTGGTGTTCTCTGTGCTTTGATATTTTATAGTGAATGTTCCATTACTAGTTTATGTGACATCTTCAGGACTAACTTATTAAGGGAGTGAAGCGTATTCGAATGTTACACGAATGTTTAGATAGCGTTTCTCTGTTTATTTTGTATGTTGCCCAGTTGTAAGTGTGAAACGATGTCACTCACTGGGGTGCAGGAGGTACATCTAACTAACGGATGAGCTTCGAATAGGACGGAACGCTCGTCTTGGATTTCTCTGCTAGTCACCGAGATCATTGAGATAGTGTTTATTTTTAAAAATGTGAATCATACCACCTACTGTGAAATATCACGTTTACATCGTCCTACTCAACCGATTTCGTCTATACCAGAAACTTCACTAGATTTCAGAGAGTTATCTGTTTATATCAAAGAGGTGTTAATCACAGATTCATATGAGTTAGAGGACCACTGATAACTTGATAATACTGGAAGACTGATTCGTCACAGTATGGGACTCCTCAGCAGGGCGAAAGTATGAATCTGCCAGAGATTAAACCCAGGAACTTCAGGTTTCGAAGCGATCACATTACCATTTGGCTACCGGATCAGAATCCAAAAGTATACTTTTTCGTACTTCTGTCAGTTCATGATATAATGCAACTTTCACGCAATGCTGTTGTTGGGTGCTTTCTTTTTACTTTCGACTTAGTTTCCACCCCCTCCACGGTCACGATTTTTTCATTAGTGAGACTATTTAAGATGACCGTGGTTTAACAGACTGGTTACACAGAGACTGGGGTTAAAGGAAGACCTAGATGTTGTTGGGATTCGAACCAGCCAGCTGTGAATTATAGGCTCAGATGAGGTTTCATTCCCACTTTCAGCCAATCAATTGTTTCAGAGTTTTTTTATTGGCAGAAATTTAACCGGTAATTTCAGCATTTAAAGTCATAACTGATATATGTTTGACTACTATATTCATACAGGTTGAATCATACAGGTTCTTATTAGTGGATGACCAGTTATCCATAGTAGGCATTTTACTCCACTTAATATCTCCATCGTTCTTGTAGCAGCAACAGCGAAACCACTCAAGTCTTCTAAGTACACTTCATAAATTAGCCACTGAAGAAAGGTGACCTTAGGATTAGGTAACACGTAAGAGTTATATACTAATTGTTTCTATGCAGGTAGCACAGAATGCTATATAATCCCAACTCTTTGTTTTTTACAGAACACTACTGTTTAACCTATATTAGGTTGAGTTTATTACTAATAAATATTCAAGGTTAAACTGTAGATTTTTTCATTTGATATGAATATGATTCCATCTACTTCACAGACCAATATGAATTTCCGTAATAAATTTACTAACGTTCACGCGTACAATAAACAAAAGAGGTGAATAAATCTCGTTAGAGAATTGCAGCCCTTTCACATATCATACACATATTCATCTATTTTTTAATTAGAAATTATCTCAATATGATACTTATCATGATTGAAAGCATATATTGAGGTTGGGTGAATTACTGTAGAATAGATAATGAGGACAGTCCAGTTTCCTATATTTCTCATTTAAATCATCGATATCAGAGGTTTTCATGGAAAATCCTTGAAGTTGTATATGCATTGAGTTCTTTTAAAAGGTCACTAGAATAAACGATATCAATAATAATAGTATGAATTTTTGTTTATTGAGTTGAGAGATAATTATTCTGTTCCTTCATTTAAAGTGGAGAACATTTGAAAAACTGAAGTATGGTCAGGTTATTTGTAAGTGTTTTATTATTATTGTTATTTATCCCTTGGGTTCCTAATGGAACATAGGGCTTCAGTAGCACGTCTCCATTACACTCTCTTGTCTACAATCTTTTAAAACTGCCTCCACAACACCCCACAACCTCTCATTTACTCCTCACACCATCTCCTCCATATAACCCTCATCTCCGACGCCCAACTCGTTGCTTCTCATCTGCGTTCCACTGAAGTGCCTTCCTTGCCTGGTGCGTGATGTCCCCAGTCAGACTTCTCAGTGTATGCTCAGTCCAATCCATCTCCACTTCCTTCCACTACATATTTGTTGGATGATAGGTCCTTGGATGGTTCGTTTCCAGAGTGAGTTTCTTGTTGTTTATTCTTTCTCACCATCTGATCCCCATATTCAGTGACTAGCCAGCTTAGGCAGTTGTTGATGAATGTCTGTAGTTAGTTGGAAATGCCTTTCGTAACGCGCCAAGTCTCTGAGCTATACAGAAGCAGTGACTAGACTATCGTTGATGTTTAATATCCAGATCTTGTTTCACATGCTGAGTGTAGTATATCTGCATACCGGTTTTAGGTTAATGAAGGAAGGCCTGTCTTGCTGTCTTTCCGATCCTGACTTTGTAAGTGTTAGTTACCATAAATTTAGCCTCCTTAGGCTGAAATGAAAGTCAATGAATGGAAATATATGAACATTATTCAATGTTTTAATGTTTGTATAGCTCATTCACAAGATAGGACTGATTAATATCAGGCTTCGAGATAAATATCCCGAAGTTTTAATGATAATCTGTTACCTATAGGGGCAACCAATCGGAAGTGAATTGGATGCCAACTGAGAAACCTGAATGATAATCGCTCTGTATGGAGGAACTGACAGAAGTACGAAAAAGTTCACGATGAAATCTGAAGGTTCTGAGTTTGATCCGTAATCCAGTCATGGCTGATTACTTCTGAGGAGTTTCACGGTAGGACAAAATTGGTATCCAGTGGCCCTGAGGTTTTGAATAGTTCTCCAACTGAATAATACTTTCAAAATAAAGTCCTCATAAACCTCAAAAGAAATCTTCTTAACAGCTTTGATGAAGCTAATGTACAGTTTTGAATTGTCAGTTATAATTCTTTTGAATACATAAGAACTAGAAACGGTAAGCTATCTGACTGCAGGTGGTTCTATCAACAAATTTTGTGGGAACTTGTTTATAGGGTGAGCAGTTTATTGTGAACTTAAACAGTATTAAACTTCATACTTTAAAAGGATAGACTTCTTACTAAATATATGATAAC